AACTACAAGGTGAATCAATATCTTCAGACGCACTGAGTAAAAATCTGCGCATTTTTACGTTGATTTCTAACGATCGCCTCTTACCTCAAACCCTGTTTAAGAAAAGCTTAATCTGATTGTGGTAGGCCTACCCATTCATAATAGAAGAACAGCTGAAATCAGAGCACGGTTTGATTTGAAGGCCAGTTGGACTCAAAAGCGATTTACTTTTAGCACCAAGCTCCCCCCCGTGTAGATGATTTCAGTCCTCAGTGGTGCTGATAAGATGGCCGTCGAATTTTCGGGCTGGACGTAGGCCAACTTGTCGGGAAATCCTTAATAAGTGGACCGCATTGATTTCATAAAACATTTAATCCCCAAGTGACTAAATTACTGATGCCGGCTCATAGACAACAATTGTATCACGTAAGGTAGACAATCACAGAAATGCTTCTCACTGGCAATGTCCATGGCTGTCCTAAAATGGGAGCCACAATGACGAGTAAAACTTAATTTTAATTTGTAACGTCACACTTGCTTCGTTCCAATAACAAGATAAGGTCAAAGTGACCGCGGACAGGCGTGATCACTGTCAATAGTAGAGAATATGCGAGCTCCAGAAAGAAGTTCAGAAGAAGAGGTTGCGATCACTGGAACAAGAGTTCTATTTTTCTGACGTTTTGGATTCCGTCGGGAATCCTTAATCATAGGTTATGGTAGCATAGTCATAGTCATTGTTGTTAACTTTTAACCAACCCATCCACGCGTACCACACGCATGGCTGTTTCTAACACCACGTCAATTTTTTAAGGACTTAACGCCGGATCACGTCGATATTTGTTGTAGATGCCGATCTTAAAAAAGAATAGACTTCTCCGCCACCGTGACCACTGTTAGTTTGACTGCCACAAGCGATTAGGTCTGTCATTTTCCTAGGGTGGGAGCAGCAGTGACGAGCGTAAAGTGCAATTGCCGCCGACATTTTAGTCCGGAGAAGGGCTGAATTATTTTGTCGACCTATCGAATCACAATTTCGAGCCTGCGAGGCTAGTTTCATGCACGTCAAGTCAACTGTAATAAACGCGTTGTCAGGAGGTGATCATCGCCTGTCCTTGTGCGCTATCTCAGTAAAACATAAATTCGGTAGCTGCAATAGTAGCGAGGCTGTCAAACAAACAGTTTTTGAAGGGTCCATTGATTTAGTGGCTCAGACGTCCTATTGTCTAGTCGACTGCTTGCTGAACCACGCGCATCTGTGGTAGATAACGGCTTTCATAACAAGTAGCTACTCAATCAACGCCAGTATTGTTTTTCGAGTTTGGCTGTTCAGTAGCAGTAACTCCTGACATCTCTTTCTTCAAGCTTGTTCGTGCTCTGAAACATTGTTGACTTCAGGCGCTGCTGGTCTAAATGCATACGAGTTCCCTTTGTTAAAAATCGCCTGCTAACGTGCCTCGTCGTTATCTTTTCAGCCAATGAGAATCCAATACGCCAAAACAAACTCTACACAAATCAAAATCCTCATGGGTGTCACTGCAGAGACCCAGAAGAAGCG